CCACCTCTGATCCCACCTCAAATTCCAACTCAACTTCCACCTCAGCTTCCACCTCAGGTCCCAATTATGTTCCCTCCTGGTGATCATGCAGAAGGAGGAGATGAAAATCAACCTCACGCCTCAGCTCACAACTCAACTTCCACTACCAACCAAGACGTGGTGACAGCTCAGCTTACTGCCATGCAGCAGCAGTTTGGTGTTTTTCAGTTGGTACTGGCTCAGCTTCTAGCTAGAAGTAATCCTGGTGATCCCCTCATTAATTTACTAAACCCTGCTCAACAACCCCCAGCTCCACAACAAAACCCCTAACCGGTTCAACCCGCTCCCGCTATTAGTGAATCCCAAGCTCAATCCCACATTGCACCCGCTCAACAACCCATCCCTGATGATGTTACTCGCCGCCTTGATAGCCTGGAGAAGCTAGTAGCCGAACACCGAGGTGCTCCACCCCCACAACATATTACTAATTCCATACCTCACCCCCTGAATACCAACATCACACTGGAACCCTATCCTACTGGCTTCAAAATACCACAGTTGGAGACTTATGATGGGACGAAGGATCCCGATGACCACCTGCACGCCTTTTACTCTTGCATGCAAGCTCAGAACGCCTCTGATGCGTTAATGTGCAAAATTTTCCCCTCTACTCTGCGAGGTAATGCTCGAACTTGGTATTTTTTTTTTTGATGAATCAAATTTTATTAAAAGAGTACAAGGGGTACTCACCCTTACAAAAGTAATGGGAAGACAAGAGTTACATTTTGTAGTCTAGATGCCATCAGCACAAAGATTTGGAAATTGACACCAATCACCAAAACTAAACATTGCAGATTTTGATTTTCCTTTAATCCAACAAAAAGTTTTAGCTTGAATTAGACCATAAATGTTGTTTTCTTCCCAATTCAGTTTATTGAACACAATACCATTTCTGAAGTACCAAATTGTCCATGCTGTGGTGAGAATAGATAAAGCCCAACAGTTCCATGATTTCCTGGCATCCATAAGTGAACAAAGCTCGGTAATCAGCAAGGGAGCATTTGCAATAGGAATAAAAGGAACCCCCCACCAGCAACAAACCCACTTCCAGACATTTTGAGAACAACGGCAAGTGGCAAAGATATGATTGAGCTCGAACTTGGTATTACAGTTTACCTCTGAGGTCGATCAGCTCTTATACAGAAATGGCATCTGCCTTTGCCACTAAGTTTTCCAGTAGAAGGTTGATTAGGAAAACTACTTCTGAGTTGATGAGAGTTAAACAGAGGGATGAAGAATCTCTGAAGAACTACATGAGCAGGTTTAATGATGCAGTTTTGGAGGTTAGTTCTTTTGATCAAGCTGTGGGAATTGCAGCAGTGATCGCTGGTCTCAAGCATGACAGATTCAGAGACAGTTTGATCAAACATGCTGCCACCACTTTTAGCGAGGTGAATGATCGGTCTCTTAAATTCATAACTGCTGAGGAATACGCCCTGGCGCAAAATCCACCTTCCTCTAAGAACCAGAACCCAGAATGGAGGGATGACAACCCGAGCCGGAAAAGGATGAGAATGGCGCAGAACCGAGGTCCGGTGTTGACCTCCCCACCGAGATTCGGAAGGCCGAACTCAACACCCCAGCAACAGTCTACAGGTAAACCTCCAGTTAATTGGACTCCATTTAATATGCCGAGGTCTCAAATTTTTATGCAGATCAAAAATAAGATGGACTTGAGACGTCCTGGCCCAATGCGAACTGCTGCTGCTAGTCGAGACCATACCCGATATTGTGATTTTCACCAGGATCACGGCCATACTACAGAGCAGTGTAACAGTTTAAAATCCGAACTGGAAAGTTTAGCTCAGAAGGGAATGCTGAATGAGTATGTACAGCGAGCTGAACAACCGAGTTTTGTCAGAGAACAGAGGCCGCAGCCTCAAGGAGTCCGCGATCCCCCAAATAGGCAAGGTGTGGGTTATCAACAAACCCCACCCCCATTCCCACCACCAGCTAGAATCATACATATGATTACGAGAGGCCTTGAAGCAGGTGGACTGAGCTCTAAGCAGCGAAAGCTGTATGTTAGGGAGGTTAAACATCAAAACCGAGCTCAGAAGCGGAAGATTGACTATGCTGAATGGAAGAATCAACCAATTACTTTCACATCTGCTGATCTCGGTACAGTTGTTACACCCCACAACGATCCTTTGGTCACTTCTGTCATGATTAACAACTGTGAAGTACAGCGTGTCCTTGTTGACACCGGGAGTGCACCAAACATCATGTATTTCCACTGTTTCGAGAGTCTGGGACTAGATCCCGCATTGTTGCAGAAGCATGATGGTCCTATCTATGGTTTCAACAACCAACCTGTTCCAGTAGAAGGAGTCCTTACCCTCCATGTGGCTTTTGGGAGTGGTCGGACCTATGTAGCCCCTTCAGTCCGGTTCCTCGTCGTCAAGATGGCCTCTTCTTTCAACATTGTTATTGGCCGACCCACATTGACCAACATCCGAGCCGTGGTTTCCCAATCTCATCTTTGCATGAAATTCCCCACTCCTATGGGAATAGCAACACTGCGAGGAAATCAGGAGGTGGACAGACACTGTTATATCACCTCGGTAACCCAACCAACGAAGGGTAAAGATAAGACACCCGAAGTTATTCCCTAGTGAATTCCCGATAATCAGCAGGTTATGGGTGTTGAGATCGTAGATAATCGACCGGAAGATGAAACTAGAGCTGCTCCAGTCGAAGATGTTGAAGAAGTGCTCGTTGATGACAAAGATCCGAGCCGAAAGACGCAGATTGGAACTAGATTGAACCCGGAGGAGAGAGCAGAACTGATAGCTTTTCTCCGAGCTAACAATGATGTATTTGCATGGACTTCGGCCGATATGCCAGGAATTCCAACTTCAGTTTGTCAACATAAGCTCAGTAC